AAGAAGAAGAAGAAGAAGAAGAAGAAGAAGAAGAAGAAGAAGAAGAAAAAATAATAATAATGGAAAACACAGAGATGGAATGGAGCATCCTGGAGAAAAAAAGTATGGCCTTTGGGCTGAAATCCTGGACAGGGATAATGCCCTGTAACGTTTTGCTAAGATCCATGCCATCAAAAAGTCCATAGCAGCAGCAATCCTTGACAAGCCAATGTGTCTCCCATTGAAAAGTGAAGCACCGCCATAACCACACTGCCATTTGACTTGTCAAGTCCAATGCATAGAGAAAGCCATGGCAGTGGCACCTCTAATTGGGCCTTCACCACAACAGGACCTGGTGCCAGCTGTTACCTTGACAAAGAGCTTGCCGCTCGAGGAATTGTGACTGGAGGCCACAGGTGTGCAATACACAGACATGGACTTGCGGTCACGGGAAAATTCAAGGGTGCATTCCTTCTTCATCAGCTTTTTGATTACCTGTAAGGAGGGAGAGGGAAATGACTGCAGGAAGCCCTCAGAGTCTCTGCCATAGGAATTGTCCTTGAATATCAAGTAATATTTTCCTTAAGCAATTTTTAAGTGTACGGATACAAATAAAACATTCTAGATACATAAATTACAAATGCAGAGTAGCGCCTGGAACAGTGGTGGTATTCTACTGGTTCGGCCCGAATTGGTAGCTCCGAGGATCATCTGTGATGAAACAATTTGTTCTGACGATCAGCTGCTGGGCCCTCCCACCGGCCCCGGCTCTATTCTGACCTTCCTGGTTTTCAAGCTCAGCTGCTTTGCACGGCACAGCGGATTGCCACTCATCAGCTATTTAACCCACTGGGAGACTGCAGGATTGCAGGAGAAGGTCAGTAGCAAACCCTCTGTGCGTGCGCACAAAGCGCGTGCTCACCAAACCCGTTGTTACACCGGTTGAATCACACCTCTGAGCCATGCCCACCAAGCCACACCCACAGAACCGGTAGTAAAAAAAAAAATGAATTCCACCACTGGCCTGGAATGCAAAATATATTGCCTAAGCCATGCATGTTCTTTTCCGAGTATTATATTTGTTCTCAGCCCTAAAAGATCAGAAGGAAAAATAAATGAAAGGGCCACTTTGTTTTCTCTGGGCGAAAGGATATCTTACAGAAAATGCTGGTTGTTGCCAAAAACAATGTTGCATTTGTCTGTTCCTTTTGAGTGTGCATTTTTTTTGTGGTTGTTGAAAAAAGCTACATTAAGCCTTTCAAAAATTTAATACCCCTCTCTTCTGCTTTTTATTTCATGAAAATACCATGATCTGAAGGTACTTTGTCATCAAAGTTTAGTGGCTGGTTCTGGAATGCCTCCATGGTCCATTATTTGCCAATTCCAACTCCAGACCTTTCTTGCCAGGCCAAAGTATTATGGCATTGAAATAGAGACTTGGTTACATAGCCTGGAAATATTTTGCACCCAGCAGAGGTCTATCTGTTTATTATTTAACAGACAATAAAGAATTTGCAAGTTAAAAACAATTCTGGATATATTTACAAGGCTACTGTATGCATAACTACACAAATGGGTCACCAACGAATGTCAAGAAATCACCAAATTTAATATTTAGATATTTGTGGAGTTATTGGATTTATGTCCAGCTTTTCCATTATGCAAATCCTCAAGGCAGCTTCCAACAATTAACACAACGACTGGCAATGCCTTAGTGCTCTGGAATTGTCTCATTTCTCCCCTGCAGAAATTACTGCAGCAATGGTTTATGGCTAGGAAGAGGCTTTTATTGGGCAAACCACAGTTAAACATGGCCTGCGAGTCCCCATTTAAAGATTGCAAATGCTGTGCTAAAATTTCTTCTGTTTCTACCCTGGAGAAATTAACCTCTTACTCACTGTATTGCAGGCATTGGCTCTTTCTACTTTGGAAAAACTGCTGGTGTCTGTATTGAAAACATTCATCTTCTCTACAAGGCAGATCAAGGCTGTTTCTGTTGCTTCGCCCACTTTTTCATAAACTTTCTTGGACTAGAAACAGAAAAGGAAGGTGCAGTTAAGACACAGCCAAAATACTTCTCCCACAGTGGTAGGCACTGCAGTCTAATTTGTTAGAAACAATTATGCTAGTTTGGTGAGGAAGGATGTTCAAATCTCATGTTGAAAGCCAAAAACAGTAAAATACAGAGTCCAATGCAGTATGTCTGCTTAACATGTAGGCAGAAAAAAAAAATAACAATCTCTAATCAGTATAAACAAGTCTTATTTTTCCCTCCCAAAATCAATTTCATTCCTAGAAATCAGCTCTTGTGAGTCTACATATCCGCTCTACCCAGGACCAGATACAAAAACAGTACAGGTAGTCCTCAACTTATGACCACAATTGAGCCCAACATTCCTGTAGCTGAGTGAAACATTTCTTAAGTGCATTTTGTCCCATTTTACGACCTTTCTTGTCACCATTGTTAAATGAATCACCACAGTTGTTAAGTTAGTAACACAGTTGTTAAGTGAATCTGGCTTCCCCATTGACTTTGCTTATCAGAAGTTTGCAAAGGGGGCCTGAGACAATGCAACCGTCATAAGTATGAATCAGTTGCCAAGCCTCTGAATTTTGACCACGTGACCATGGGGATGCTGCAATGGTTGTAAGTGTGAAAAACGGTCATAAGTCACTTTGTTCAGTGCCGTTGTAACTTTGAACAGTCACTAAATGAGCTGTTGTAAGTCGAGGACTACCTGTTGTAAGGGATGCATATTCTTTTTTCCCTTTTTTCCTGTTATTCTGCTGGCCAAGGACAAACAACTGGAACTCAAAAGCCCGAGTAGGATCAAAAGCTTTCATCCAACTGTCTTGCACCATAAGCAACCCCCGTTTTGCGCATGTCATAAAGCCTGTACAAAAGGGGCGGAGCTTGTGTCGGGATGGCGAGATGCTGCTTTCGTCCTCTGCTTCCCCCTTGTCTTTGCCTTGGGCCCTTACACTGGAGTGACCACTAGCAAAAGGCTTCGGATATTGTGCTCATTACTCTACTAATACTGTCAGATATTTTTCCAAAACCAAAACATTTGAATTGTTTCCCTGGAAATCAAGGGGAAATCAATCAACCTCACTAACTTGTGACTTATTTCCACAGGAGTGCTATAAATTTTATGGAATATATGAGGGCTTCCTTTAAGCAGGGGTATCAAACTCGCGGCGTCACATCATCACGTGACGTATCGTGACCTTTTTCTCTTCGCTAAACCGGGGTATGCGTGGCCAGCACGTGACACATCCAGCCTGCAGGCCATGAGTTTGACATCCCTGGTTTGGAACAGTAAAGAAATGCCCCATCCTAGTTCTAAAACTTGCATTGAAAGAGATTGTAATCTTCACTGCAAAATTCTTTTTAAAAGACCTTTTTAAAACAAAAGGTTTTAAATTAAACAAACTTTAAACTTTAAATTAACTTTTCAAATTAAAAGGTTTTACAATACAACAGGATGCATTTCTTTTTTCCTTTTACCTCCCCCCCCCCCTTTTTTTCTTTTTTGCACTTTTTCTTTTATCTTAATTTGTAGGACTTTTATCTTTCTATTTTTAAACTTCAAGAAAATTATTCAAGTAGGATATACTTTTTTGCACGCTATTTTCCCCCCTGAAAATTAAGATTGATACTTATAACATAGTCATTTTTGTACATCAAAAGAAATGACAAAATTGTTTTAAAAGTGAAGCATTCTTCAATCTGAATCACAATTTCCTTCAGCTCCAGGCAGACTTCGCAGTTCAAACTGGAGAACGCTCTTCTAGGAACTGTAGGCTGAGCTACTGTATGACTTTCTTCCTGATTTGATATATAATATATGAGCACTGGTGGCGCAGTGGTTAGAATGCATTGCAGGATAACTCTGCCCACTATCTGGAGTTAATCCTGATGGGCTGAAGGTTGACTCAGCCTTCCATCCTTCCAAGGTGGGTAAAATAAGGACACAGATTGTTGGGGACAATGTGCTGGCATTGTAAACCACTCAGAGAGTGCTGTAAAGTCTATATAAGATTGCTATTGCTATTGCTAATACTAATAACAACAAAAATTACCTCATTATAATCCAGCGAGGAATCATTGCAAAGGGCACAAATGGTTGCAAGTTCGACTAGGCCATCAAATTCTCCACAATTAACAGGGTGATCATTCTTTAAGCTGGCATTTATTTTAAAAGGAGAATAGGGGAAACAAAGTAAAATTTTATCTGACCGGCAATGAAGAAACTTATATATTTTGCAACCCAAATGCAATAATCAATATAACAGGGTGGTACTGTACCTTGATTTTTAAAATTATTTATTAATAGTAATATATCTTACCATAGCTTTCCTAGAAGAAAATTGTCAAAGAGATTTAGGACAAGTTCCATAACTGGCAGGTAACCTGCAGTCATTCAGTAACATATTTCTGCAAAATACAGTTTTAAACTTTTGTCTGTCTCAGCCAGTTACAGATCCTTAGCCCTGACTGTGAAACTGAATTCAAGAGAAAAAAGCTTTAACAGAATGGCGGGGCTTATGAAAATGTTTGAAACAGCAGAAGCAATGGAGATCCAGAACAATTATTTCAACAGAGCTATGAAATCTTCTTCCCAGTGCCATTGGCTGGGTGCTGCTTCTCCAAGCTCAGCATAGACCCTGGAGTCTGATTGAGAAGGACTTTTGTTATGCTTATAGGTGGTCTAGTGGTTAAGGTGCTGAGCCTGTCGCCAGAAGGTTGGCAGTTGGAAACCCAACCCCATTATGTGATGGGGTGTGTTCTTGTTCCTGCCCCAGCTCCTGCCAACCTAGCAGTTTGAAAGCATGCAAATGCAAGTACATAAATAGGTACTACTTTGGTGGGAACTTAATGGTATTCTCATGCTGGTCACATAACTACAGAAGCGTCTTTGGACAATGCTGGCTCCCTTGGCTAAGAAACGGAGGTGTGCACCATGCCCCCCTTGAGTCAGTCATGACTAAATATCATTTACCTTTTCTACCTATAGATAAGACAAGGGATGCATGCTACCTTCTGTTTCAAAAGAAGTATCTCAAAATAACTGGACCACTTAGAGTTAGAAAGAAATATTCTGAAATTACTTTATTTCCAAACACACCTACTTTTCTGTGATATTTATTTATTTGCTTTTTTTTTGTTAACAGGGGAAAGAAGGAACCATTCCAAATTACAGGTCTGAATTCTAAAATGCCACCAACTGGCTAACGCTACAACATTTGATTCTCTAGGACACTGTGAAACCATAAGTGAGGGGGAGGTAAGACATAGGGATCCAAAAGGCATGTGAGGTAACAAGAGTGAGAAGAATATATTTGATGATTTGGAGAGCTGTTGCCAAAGTCAGAGCAGACAGAACTGACCTAGATGGATCCTAATTCAAGGTAAAGGAATTTTATAGAAAAGCAACAATTGCATAATGGTGGAGCACAAGCAATGCAAAGAGAAGATGATGGCAGCACCTTCATATGGGAGAAAGTTCCAATCTGAAAGCCATTGACAACAAGTACCATCTTCCTGTCCTCCAAATGTGTAAGAACTAAAACTCCCAGGATTCTTGGCCAATATGATCATAGCTGATGATCGTGTTGGACATTCTAGGATTTGAGGAATCACATAGAGAACAGCAGGTTAGAGAAGGCTGGTTTAAAGACATCCCTTCACCGAAACTTCAGGTATTTAGAGACAATCAAACTAGATGGATCAACAATTTGGTATCTCCTTCATAAGCATCACTAGTTTCTAATTATTTTGAAACCTTTCCATCACCAATGCCCTTTACATACGTTTACAGGTCTTCTCACAGGCACATTGCTGATTGTCAATGGCTCTCTAAGCTTTTGGGTGGCCTTCTCATCTTTTCCATCTAAAGGTTGCAGGGACTTTTCTTCTGCAAAGCACATGCTCCAATTTGGAAATGTGGCTGCTGCATAAAAGGAGCTTTGCCCATATTGTAGGCTAGTGTTGTGGCCCGACAGCGGCCAGAGGAGCTGGCAGCAGATTTGGACAGTGAGGAGGTTGGGGAGGAATATGGGCCAATCCTGGAGTCTGGGGAAGGCTCTGACGAGTGCTCTGCATTGGAGGCAGAGATGGGGCCAGGGCCATCTGACAGTTATCAGCTGCCTTCGGAGTTGGACATCAGTGAGGCAGAAGAACAGCTGGAGCCTGTTCCCAGTGTGCGCATGCGTAGAGCTGCCAGGAGAAGGGAACAGTTGAAGAACAAGGGCCAACTTGGGAGTAAAGCCACAGGTGGACGGTGAATGCCCCCTCCTATAGGAAATAAAAGAGGAGCGAAAGGGGAGTGGGGCTTTGCAGGAGACAATCAGTTTATTCCGGCATGCTTGCCAAGTATTGCGGCATCTGAAAGATATCGGCCTGGCTACTCTCCAAGCCTGATAAAGGTCTGTAATTGAGAACTATTTTGAAAGATTGTTGGCTGGGACTTTGCTGGATGGGAAATTCATTGTAAATTAAATAAAAGGGGTTTATTGGGATGAGGACTCGGCTTCGTGCTGTTGGGGAGGCCTAGGTCAGACAATTCTTGACAACTTCTTATGGGAAGGCCAGCTTCCAATTAGCACGTGTGCATGCACACACACAGATTTGCCCAGACAAATTCCTGTGAAAGAGCCTTTTTAAAGGAATGTCGGAAGTTCCGTCTGTCAGTGAGTGGCTCCTATGAGACTGACAAATTGTACCCTTTCCCTCAATGTCTTGGACGAAGTACAGCTGTGATGGAAAAGCAACTTGCTAATTAAAGGCACAAAAGAATCTTCACAGGAAAGAAGAGTTTACATTTCCAAAAGAAGAGGCAAATTAACACCTTTCGGTGCTGAAATGATATTAAAGAAGCAGAAGTAAGGGTGGTAAGTAGGGAGGGGGAATCACAGTCCTGTTTCCCCCCCTGTTTTTAAGCCTTTTTGATTATTTAAAAAAAAGCCTAAGTATCTCACAAAAAACTAAGATTTGGAGCCAGTTGGAATGGGACAACTCGCTATAGCCAACTCTCCAAGGCCGTGGCCAATTTGCCACAGGACAACTCACTGTGGGGCACTTCAACAATTCAATTTAATTTTTAAAAACAATTAAATATTATTTTCATTTTTGTCATTCACATTTCATTTTGTTCCTTCTTTGGCATCTTTTATTTAATGATTCTATTCCACTATTCCTTCAGAGTTACTTTAAAGAGTTACTTTAGTGTAACTCTTGTCCTATGGTGAGTTGCTATAGTGAGTTGTCCTGCAGCAAGTTGGCTAAGGTGAGTTGGCTGTAGCAAGTTGTCCATAGAGAGTTGGCCATGGCGTGTTGTTGTAGACCCAGCACATACCCAGATTGGAGACCACGAAAAAATCAGTGGACTGGAGTTGAATAAAAAAAAATGAAAAAATATGTAATGGGATATTATTATCATACTGAGGCCAGGAAAGCGACATGGACGTCTCTATAGAATCACCAAGACTGAAGCTGGATGTAAGGGAGTTTTTGCTTTGCCTTATTTGCTAGCATCTCAAAAGAAAGATGGGTAAAGCATATTGCAACTAATTTTATGTAAGGCTTCAGTGAGATTATTTAAGTCTTTTTTGGATAGCAGCATCAGCAACAAAATGTCGACATGAGCATCATACAACAGGAGCATCGTGCAAACGCCATGAGTAAGCATCTGCACCCTGATATCTGACACAAGGATGTCAATTGAAGCATTTGAGTCACTTCATCACACCATTTGCCTGCTGCAGCCATCAAAAGCAGAGTTATAGAAGGAATTTTGAACCCTGGGGACTTTGGGGTGTGGTAGGGGGAATGTGGGGGTTGAAATGACAGAGTAACACTTCATATCCAATTGGTTTGCTCCAGTAGGAGCTCAGAGGACTAGTTTTACTGGAGATTTATCAAATTCTGTTCTCATTAAATACTCTCCTATCAGATACTACCTTGGATAGGTAATGGATATCATCCTGAGATGTAAAGTACCAGAGTAGAGAATCTTAGGATCTACTGGGATCCAATTGATTCCAATGAACGTCTGGTAAAAAGGCTGACTTAGGATATTCTATGAGTATCTTGTGGATGGCTCACATGAATGTGTTTTCCTGGACATCACTAAAGGTGTGTGAAGGTCATTTCATCCCATCTCTTCCAACTATTAGATCAGGGATGAAGATCATTTTGCGCATTACACAACAAACATTAGCATGGGAACATTAAGAATGCTGTACATATTTGCACTATGCTCCAAACTACAGCAGTCAATAGTCCATTACCTTCTGTTTTTATGGTCAAGATTAACTTGGGAGAAAATGGGAATAATCATTAAATATGTGGCAACTCCTGAGTAAACCCAAGAGATATCAACTTCTAAGATACTTCTAAAATGTGTCTTCTTTTTTTGCCATTTTATACCCATATAGGTTGATAAAATGCATACTGTATATTTGAACAAGCAGCATCTGTGTTCTACTGGTGTGAGGTGTTTCCAGAGCATAGAAACACCTGATACAATAGTAAAAAAAATAACTTTGACATATGATACCAGCAAGTTGATTGTCCTCTAATCTTTTATCCAGGTATATGGTAATCAGAGGAGAAAAAAAAAGATGCAAATGTATTGAAGCTTTAGAAAATTGTTTGGATTTTAAAAAAAAAAAACCTGTGTAAACTCAGATAGACCAAATATACAGTATATTTAACAAGAAATACAAGTATACAGTTTTGGGCAATTAAAATCCCTCGAACAGAAGATGTAAAAATGGAATAAATTGAACCTAAAACTGAAGAAAGAAAGCAGACAGACAGACAGACAAATATATAAATTTGCCCTTTCTCACAGTCAAGAGAGATGAAAGGCAAGATAGAGAGAGCCTAACTAATTTTCTGTGATGTGGCACAATGTAAGTAGGTCATCTACTGCATACTGAAGTTTTCTAGAACTATTTGTTTCTTGTTTCTTAGATTTAAATTTCTCTGGACCCTGCTCCAAAGAATTACTTCTCAACTATAATGAGCCATCACTAACCTAGTAAATCCAACTTTCTATTAAAATTATTATTTGTATTATTACATTCCTTTGGGGTAGGAGTTGTGGATTCCCACTGATCCAGGGAACAGAGATAGAAAGAAACATAGTCAGTTCAACTCTTTAATAATTAATACATGGGGTATGTGTAAATTGTCATACTTTCTCTGGTGAAAATTTATTCTGCTTATAGTTTCCCATGGGCTTTAAATAACAGCAAAATAATAATTCAGAACTGTGCAAACTGTTTCTGACTCTGGCAACTGCTGCCGAGATTTCACCATGGAATTCAAAACATTGTCTCCAAATTATGTCATTGGAATATTTTGTGTCAAAAATAAAATACAATGAATCTCTTAAATTAACATGTTACAGTCCAAAACTATTTTATAGATAAGCAAGTGTGATGGGTGGAAATTTATGGTGGGTACAGTGCAACACATGTTTTAATTCTGTGCCCCCATGCCATTATTTAGTTGAATTCATTCCCTGGGGATGACCCTACTTCATTTTGTTTTCTTTTAAACATGATTCACATACTTTGTGGGTTATATAGCATCACAATTATGGAACACCATCCCTTTCCACTTCTGGTTGGTGCTGAGACTAATTCGCTTTTGGGGCTCAGTAAAGCCCTACCTGTTTGCTTAAAGTTTTGGGCTGAGCTGAAGACCTTGGGATTGTTAACAGTTCCCATTTTATGGTTTTCACTTTATAATTATATATAGTTTTCCTGGCTTCTTTTATTGCACCCTGTTTTGGGGTTGTCTTTAATAAAAAGTAGGCTAAACATGGCCATAAATAAATAGTGCAGCTGCTGGCTATATCGTATTAGTTTGCTGTATTTGTAGATTTACTTGTGTGTTCATGCAAGGTTTCAAAATTCTATAAAGATGTTGTCCTGTGATTGACCTGCATTTTTCAATTAACACCTGGAACAGAAATTGCTTAGACAAGTTAGATCTTCCTATTTAGTCTTATGAGCTGTGAAATAACAAACTTCCAACTCTAATCCCAATCAGATAATTATCTCTCTCTTTTGTTGTAGCTAGTGCCCAATGATTGTGAGATGCTTAGTCTTTATTAATGTATAACTTTTGCTGTTGCCTAAGCTGAATAACTCTGAGGTTGGAGGGGGAAAAGATATTTCAGGACTATAAAGCTCGTTCAACTAAAGCAACCCTCTTGTGAGTCAAATTTTGGAGATTTGCAGGAGAAGGACAGGCAGAGCTTGCAGGTGGAGTCAAAAGAGGAATCAGCCTGAAGTCATTAAGTTCCCACAAATGCTCTAAGTCCAATCTCTCTTGAATTCCATTAACTCTTATCTAGCACCAATTTAGTGCTGACCATTAGCTGACTAGATTCCTGGGTATATATGTGAGCAATAAATCAGCTTAACTGGATTTAATGTATGGGTCTTGATTCTTCTTGCCTGACAAGACTGTCCCCACCACTTGGGTTCACCACTGCAGATAGCAAGAGGCCATTGGTGCAATACGTAAGTAAATGAAGAAGCTTCTTGGATGAGAAGCTACACATCTTCAAAGAAAAAAATCCCAGAAAGTGCCAGTTGCCTCTTTAAAAAGCACCTTTGGGACAACCATGACGTGGATGATGAAAATCTCCATAGACATTTAAGTAATGGGGACAATTACCACCTTGAGTTATTTGTAAAAATTACAAAGGCAGGATATACATACATATGTATGTACATTCATAAATACAATGTAAACAAACATGAAGCTTTTTGTTTTACTCCTGTAATCTCTTTTAATATTGCAAACCACCTAGAGTTACCTGTGGTACGATGGGTGGTCAATAAATCGGATGAATAAAATAAATAAATAATATCTGCCTGCTTTGGCATCCACCCTAAATTAGCCGGCAATTTAAAACTTTCAGAAAACAAATGCAAAAACAGCACAGCAATGCTATCAACCTGACAGACACAGTGATGGGATTGTTTTTCTTTTTTTTAAATGAGTTTTATATTAATTTTTTAAATATAATTTCAAGGGGAGTCAGCTTGGTATAGAGCAGGGGTGTCCAACCTTGGCAACTTTAAGACTTGTGGACTTCAACTCCCAGAATTCCTCAGCCAGCAAAGCAAGTCTTAAAGTTGCCAAGGTTGGACACCCCTGGTATAGAGGTTAAGACCCTAGGCTAGAAACCAGAAGACTGTGAGTTTCAAACATGCCTTAGGTAGAAAGGCAGCTCCATGATTTAGGCCAGTCAGTTCCTCTCAGCTCTAGGAAGGAAGAAATGCCAAACCACTTCTGAAAATATTGCCAGGGGTTAATACTGGTTCACAGGCTCAATCAATCATTTTTTTTAAACATTGGGAAGATTTTACATCAATGCTTGACAAGTTCCAACAACAAGGCACAGTGCCTCCTTGTGGTCAGTAGAAATACTCACATTTGTCCCTCAGGGGTGTAGGTGGATCCAGTGATAGTGAACTCGTGCAAGCTGCAGTGACTGTCCTCAGTCTTCTCCACAATGAACATCTGCAATAAAAGGAGAAAGAAAAAGAGGAACAATTAAGACTGCACTGTTGAAGGGCTAGTTACAAGTCACAAATAGTTTTAAAGTACAGTACATTGCTTTGTTATTGAAAAAGGAGGCAATTTTGACAAAAACCTCTCCTTTGAGCCTGCAATCAGATAAAACCACTACATGAATAATGTTCAAATTTGCAGCCCTCACTCTACCTTCTCTGGCATAAAACGAGCAGTGCTCATTTAACAATGGTTCAAAGTTATGACGGTCTTGGAGGGAAGTGATCTGTACTCACATTATGATTGTTATAGTACCCCTGCAGTCATGTAATCACAACTGGGGCACTTGGCAACTCGCTCGCATTTACAACCTGTTATGGTGTCTTGCAGTCATGTAATCATAATCTGTGACCTTTTTTTGCCAATTTTCAGCAAAAAATGACCATCGGGGAACCTGGATTCGCATCGTGATTGTGTGATTCACTTAACAACTAGAGGAAAAATTGTTGTAAAATCAGATATGATTGAACTTATTACTGCAGTGACTTTTATAATAAAAATTTCAACTCTGGTTGTAAGTTGAGGACCACCTGTAACAAAGACTATGTTAATATAAGTATATAATATAATGTAACAAAGACTATGTTAAGATTATTGCAATGAAGTAGAATGACTAATCTGATTGTATTTCTTGTCTGAGCCAACTGGTAAGGCTGACATCATTCTTGCAAGTTGGAAAATGAAAATCTCCCTCTAACGTCCTTTTCCCCCCCCTTTTCATGACATTGTAATCCCTTAATTCGGGGTACAGTTAAGACAATTGGATGGAGTTGAGCGTTTACTGGCCAGATGTCCTCCCTGATGCCTACGTGAGTTTGCAGCAGATCTCTTCTCTTTGTACCCTGAGAAGCATCTGTTGCTACCTAGGATGAACCAGTGGTGGGATTCACCACCATTTTGGTGGGTGTGACTTAGTGGGCGCATTTACGTGCATGCATGTGCCAAACACGCACTTTGCGCAGGCACAGAGGCCTTTGCGCAGGTGCAGAGGCGTTCCAACTCACCTCCTGCAAGCTTGCACTCTCCTGGTTGCTTCAGCAGCTGCTGCGCAGCAGTCTTCTGTGCCGTGCAAAGCAGCTGCGCTTCAAAAGCAGAAGATAAAGGTGAATATGAGAGCCCGGGCAGGCAGGTGGGCCCAACAGCAGAGTGGTAGAGAGAACCGGTTTGGTCTCCATTGCTCACCGCCGCTATCGGCTCAGCAGAACTGGGCTGAACCGGTAGAATACCATCACTGGATTGAACTCTCAACCTCCCAAGTGGGAGGTGAGCATCTTCCACACTAGGCCACCACACCACTCTAATTTCCTTTACATTCTGAGAAATTAGGTGGGTCTCTTCTGGGCCTCTTGTCCTGCCCACTATCCAGCTATAGACTACGTTGTTTCTTAACTTACTGTACCCCAGGCAGTATCTCTGGGCCCAGTATTCCCACATACGATTACAGACTTGTATGGCGTATTTCGGAAGTCTTTTCCATTTTGGCACCCCTTAAAATTGGTACCTAGGCTACTGTCTAGATTGCCTAGGCTTAGAACTGGCCCCTCTGTGCCCTTTAAAACTCAGCTTGCTGTACTGAGAGATGAGACCCAAGGGCAGGTTAACAGGGGACAATCAGCGGGAGGGTGGAAATAGAGCCTTGGCCTGCTCCCACATTGCACCAAGGGAGCAGAAAGGGATGATGTCACTGCAACTAAATGCAATCTGATTCCTGTTCATGTCAAAATTTATTCTGCTTTTATCAGAGTCTTAAGCAATTCCCAGCACATGGGAACTTTCACTGTTGAGTTCCCACATTTGTCAAATTCTTGAGTAACTAGGAAAGAACTGGTCTTTTAATTTTCTCTCCTGGCCTCCTCTGATTTAGGGCTGTTACTACTGTATCCACAATAACAATTTCTGCTGCTGTTTATAGTTTTACAACGTAAAACCATCATCTAAAATGCTTGTGATCTCCCAACACAACATCTTAAATTCATGAGTTGATGTGCTGTCCACTGGACAGCGTCCAGTGTGGAGATGCAGCGTTTGGGGGAAATGCAAAATCTAGTGATTATAATAGATAGTCCTCAATTTACAACCACAATTGGGATTAGAATTTTCATTGCTAATCAAGGCAGTTGTTGAGTTGTGTCTGATTTTACAACCTGTAAAAAATTGCTGCAGTTATTAAATGAATCACGAGGTCATTAAGTGACTTTAAAAATTGCTCGTCAGAAGCTGACGGGGAAGGTCACAAATGGAGATCACATGTCCCCAGGACATTGCAACTGTTGTAAACACACACTGGTTGCCAAGTGCCCGAAGTCTGCAAGCAAAGTGGGGGCTCCCTCTCAAAATAGTAGCTTCTGACCAAATGAGATGATGTTCTGGCTTGCCAAAGTATATCTGTTCATGAATTAAAAGCAAAATCACATTAAACAGGTAATTCTTGACATACAACCTTAATTGACCGTGCAATTAGGATAGTTGCTCAGTGGCTCACCACAGCACTACGCTTAATTTTACAATCTTTTGTTGCAGTGGTCATTAAGTGAATGTGCAGTTGTAAAGTGAATACTGGGGTCCATTGTTTTCTATGGGTTTTTTTTTTTTTTTGCTGGAAACTGGAAGTAAAACCAGTTTCTGGCAGTTACATTTGCAAATAGCCATAAATGTGGGCCAGATGCCAAGTGCCCCAAATGTGCTCATGTGACTGCAATGTGGAGACTTCAGTCAGAATTTCAAATCCAGGTTGTAAGTATTCTTTTTCGGGCCTGTCATAACTTCAAATGGTCCTTAAGCAAGTCATAAGTCGAGAACCACCTGTATATATTTATCCTTCTTGGAAGCAATGGGAATTGAATCTACAAGGGGGATGTGATAGAAAGACATTTCAAACTCTGGTTCCTGAATGAATTGATGCTATGGCCATTTTCTGGTCTCTTTAGCCTTTCAGAAATGGGCTTCCTTCTGCATAAATGCTCATCTACTGTCCCAGGCAAAGAGAGCTCTCTTAGGTATTTTAAAAGTTTCCTGTTGGAACTTCCGGTTTGTCGGCTTCGGAGGCGGTGGGGTTTCGCGATCTTTGCGATCCCCGCCGCACTAGCCGCGCTTGGTTCCTCCGACCCAGACGGGTCCGGAGGATAAGGTTGCCCCGTAGAGGCAACCGAAGATAGGGAGGATCCGGACAAGGGGTTGGGGTATTCGCAGACCCCTTCCCCACCCGGCACAACCTCCTTTTCTCAAGTCGGTCCAGCGGCGGTCAGCAATGGCCGCCACAAAGAAGTCAGCAACCGGATAAGATCGTGCTGGAGGAAGAAGGAGAAATTTTTGAAGCGAAAGTTATTTTGGCTGAACTGGGATTAGAGGATATATTTAACACCCTGAAATCTGAGATTTGGTTTTTTGTTTGAAAGATACTTTGTTTCCAGAAGAGATTGGCAAGCGGCGAGTGAAAGTGTTTCAAGTGAAAGTTTACTCTCCTTCCACATGGAATTAACGAATGAATGCTGAAAATACTACTATTCTATAAAAGGTAAAAATCTAAAGCTTCTGGTTATAAATGGGAAGGGAGAGGACAAAAGGAAAATTTATACTAAGATTCTGTTGAAGGAGATGCCTGGAAGTTTTTAGAGATTGGAAGTTACTGCAATAAGAACTTAAAATACAGACTGGCTTTCTTTTTCTCCCTTTGCAACTGATTTTAACCCAGGAAGAAGGGAAGAACTTTGTGCTTTGTTTGGATTGTTTGGTGACTTTGGGACTTTGGGACTTGCTTTAAGCTTGGAAATATCTTTGGCTGTTTTAAGAAAAAGAAGAAGAGGATTTACAATGATTTTATCTGCTGATGAACTGAGAGAGGAATATGGCAAAATAAAGAAAGATGATGTGGGGCAAATTTTTTGCTTTTTAGAAATGGCGCTTGCTACTTATCAGCAAATACAACAATTGATGGAAGAAGATGAAGAAGAAGAAGCCATCTTTAATGAACCCATAGAGGGGCTTAAGAAAGAAAGAAGAAAGAAAGGGGGAAAAAAGGATATAAGACTTAAAAAAATATTTAAGAAAGAAGAAAATAAGATGCAAAATCAATATGAGGTTAGAAAGCAAAAGGGAAGAGAAATACAACAGAGAGGGGAAGTTAAGGGGGGTAAAAAGACCAGATGGGATAAGACAGGGAGGAAGAAGGGGGAAAAAGGCCACGAGGGCATTAAACAAGATGTGAAAAAGAAATGGTTTTTTAGGGATAAAGGGTAATATAATTTGGTTTTAAAAGGATTCTGCAAGGTACATATGATAATATTGTAGTATTTGTATTAAAAATAAAAAATTATAACTTTATAAGATCTGAGTAAAGACTAAAATATTAAAAGTTTAATAATGGTAGAATTTAAGATTTAATAAAATAAGGTTTAAAATATTTAGTTTAAATGTAGAGCTTAATTGATTATTGCGTGGATGTTATTATGAATATATTATTGTGATACTTGCTTTTGAAATAGATAATTGAAATGTTATGAGATTTAATGTTTGATGATATATTTAATTATGCTATGGATTCACTATTTTTTTCTTTTTTCTTTTGTAAGTAGTATGTACTAAGCAGAATCAAATAGGGAATTTGGAGTTACCTTAAATGTTAATTTAGAGGTGCGATGGAAAGGCATCATACTTTGATTTGTGATTTCAGGAGAATTTTTTTTATTTTACTATGGGGAATGAAATATATAGATAATTGGAAAATAATGGACAAAGGATAGAAATATAATGATTTAAATTAAGTTAATAAACAAAATAGAATTAAGAAGAGAGGAAAGCGGGGAGAAGCTACAAAGAAATTACAGAATGGTAATTAAGATAGGTAATGGCATATAAGATGAATATGAATTTAATTGAAGTCCATACAAAGAGTGGTAATCCGGGGCCAAGCTACTTTTTTGAAAAAGAAGTTTTATTTTATGTGTTTTGTG